CAAATCCGAGCAGTGAAGGTCGGTCTAGTAACGACGAAATTCTTTTAAAAACCGGGCTGGTCGTGGCCCGCCTCAAGGACAACGTATGGCCTTCGGCTGCGCCGACTATAGACCGAGGCGATTCCTCTAGGCTCGACACCCACCCAGTCCAACAGAGGGTCCTCTACGGTGTCGACCAAACTCACAGTCTCATCGGCACTTTGTTCTTCCCTTTCGGGGTGTCCTGAAGAGCACGGTTCGTCCGCCATGGTTACCTACAGAGCACAGGAAACCAGTCAATTGGGCACGAAACCATACGCTTGTCATAACGGACAAGATGAAGTGCGCGACAAACCACGTCGCTCCACGCGCGATCACAAAGTTGGTTTGAAACAAAAATAGCAGTCGCCTCCACGACTTCCAGATACCTCGACGGGTCCTTCTACAAGCCGCCTAAATAAACCAACGACGCGGTCACTCGTGAATACGTCGACCCGGGGTATGAACATGGCGAGCAACATCATAAAGCCTAAAGCTAGAGCTATGAGTCTACCGGGCACGATCACGAGTTAGGCGCCCTGGATCATGAAGACCCCGGGCAGCACTGCAGATTATAACCTAAACTATGTATCTACCGGCCACGAACATGCGTTTGCCGACCTCATGCATGAATTTGTCGGGCTGAACATAAGTTTTCCGGGCTAGTCTCACGCGCACAGCCTCCAAAAAACGTCTAAAACGATGAAAATCATGCATCACAACAGAAAAACAGAGGAGACAAGTCACTTACTTGGAATCAAGGAGTAAATTTGACGACGGAGGAAAGGAATCGGTGACGGAGATCGCGACGATGCTATGAGAATCTGGGAAGAACAACAGCAGCAGAAACAGAGCGAAGAGGAGAAGCGCGAAGAGTAGTAACACATTCTGGGGCCTAAGGATCCTATTTATAGTGATGACGTGGAATACCAAACGTCACCTCGGGCAACCACAGATTCCCCTCCTCGACGCGCAGCTCCCCTAGGCAATGATGACCCTATCCTCATAGGGTGGCAGCACAGTTCCCAAAAGATACCTCGCGTGCTCGACAGACGCAGGCTGTTGAGGAATCCCCGAGCATTCCTCGCGGGGGACCTGTCCCCGAGCACGATACGGGGAAACCCTCGAGTACCCCCACGACGAGCTGCGTCTCTTGCCCGGGTACGGGGCCCCGAAACGGAAGCAACCTAAGATCAAGCCATGGCTCCTAACCCAAGGAACCACGTCTTAGGGGGCTCCTGTTCTGGACTGGGACCGGTTGGCCCAATAGCAACGATAAAGGCCCAACCCAAACGGACTTACTAGGGGTCACGCCGACCTAAGGACCATAGCTATGCCCGACACACGTCACTGGGCGACACCCCCGTCCTCGTATTGTCCAGCTCGACATCAGCTCGAGCGCTCCTTCGCCAGTGGACACGACCCACTGCACTCTCAACGGGACTCCGAAAAGACCGCGTCCCTGTCCGCCCGCACTTCACGCAGAACATCCAGGGAGGGGACCACGTGCAGGTCCCCACTACACACGTAGAACCTGGCAGTTCCTCCATTGGGCCAAACCTGCCCGGCCCAATGAAGGAACTTTGGCCCAGCGCTGGGGGCTATAAATACCCTCTGTTCCTAAAGGGTCAGGTATTCATCATTCTACCCATACTCCTACTATTGCCTGCTCGTGCTCTTACTTACTTCAGCATCGGAGTGTCTTGCAGGTACCCCCCCCACCTCGTTCAAAACTTCAGCTCGGAGCCAGCTGTGACGGTCCAAGTCTGATCAGGTTAGATTAAAAACTCTTTTAAAGTAATTATAAGTTACATACTAAACAAAAATACAAATTAGTTTATGTCTCTTAAAATTACGTTACAGCGAACCTTGACATATATAAATTACATGAATGTGTTAGAGTATTTAAACCATATCTCACAAGATGACTTATCATCTAAAAGGTGTTGCAAAATCAACTATGTAAGATCATATACGTAAAGAGTTATCTGAGTACAACATAGATAATCCAGTAAACACACAAAAAGACTTGTAGAGATGGTTTGAGGGAAAATTTTAGTTGAAAGTTAGTCAAGGAACAATATCAATCACACTCTTTCTGCTTAAAATAGAAAAGGAAAGGAAAGACACAAACACTCATATTTCAATAGAGTATAATATATTTTTTTTCTTTAGTTTCTATGAATTATTAATTTATGATTTTTTTGGAACCGAAAATTATAAAGGGATCTCTCCAAAAATTATTATCTTATTATTTTATGAGTTTTTCAATTTTTTACATTAGTTCAAGTCAAAACTGAACAAATTTATTATTTTAAAGAGTTTATTAATTTATCGAATATTAATTTAAAGAGTTTTTAATATATATATATATATATATATATATATATATATATATATATATATATATATATATATATATATATATATATATATATATATATATATATATATATATATATATATATATATATATATATATATATATATATATATATATATATATGAAAATCCCTTATTACCATTAATATAGCATTGATTAATATTTGAGAAATGAAACAAAAGTTACACTATTCAATGTAAATATAGATGTAGAGTCTAAAAGCATGATTATTGGTGTTCTTTGAGAGTTCCTACATATTTATTAAAGAAATTGTGTCAATAATAAATGAATATTTTACTTGTTTTCACGTCTTCATATTAAAGTACGCTTCTACACTCCAATTAAGTGAGTCATGATAATAAATTAATAAATAAAATTGCAAGAATGTAGTTGATTTGTTTTAAATGTGAGACCCATTTTAGTTTTTTTGATGAGTTACATGGATATTTGATAATTGTAGATGAATTGTTTAAAAAATTGAGAAGTGTGAAATAATATAAAAAATTATATGAATCCCATTTAAAGAACCCAAATAGATATGATAGATGTGGATGCTCTAAGAGAGTGACTCTGATGGGGCACATTTTTTCATTGGAAGTTATTGATAGCATTTCAAAGGTGAAAAAGATTGAACTTTGGTGTTAAAGCACTTAATTAAAAAGAATCAGAGACATAGTCAATAGAATAACTACTTATACAAATACTAATAATTGATATAAATAATATTAATAATGATGAGTCAATAAATTTTTTAGTTATTGAATTTGTTAGAGATTAGTTTTGACTTTAGTTATGGATTAACTATTAAATTTTATGACTTCAAATATGTTTTTGATATTAACTACATTATATGCCATATTAGTATATTTGACAATTGACATTATCATGTATTACTATCATGTTAATTCTGTTAACCGACGTTAGTAAGAAAAATTAAAAGTGTAAATAAATTTTTTTAGAAAAATGATTCTTTAAAGAAAATATTTTAGAAAATTAAAAACGAAATTTATAATATTTAAAATAATAAAAATTATATTTAATCATTAATTTAATAGATTTACGGTAATTACTCCTAAAAGCAACTCATATAACCAATATGATATTGTGATGATTCAGACGTTTGCAACCATAGAAAATGTTTGTTGCTGAGGATTTTCTTGATTGTTCAAATGTTTGTGTTATAAATGTACATATTAGAGATTATTCTGCTTTTTAATTTCTTTATTTTAGAGAATGAAATGTTCTTACTTATATCTAATATACTGTTCACAAATACATGAACAGTATTTTTATTGTTTTTTTAATTTTTTTTAATTTTTAAAATTATTTTAGTTATTAAAATATTAAAATAAAATAGTTAATATTTAAATTTTGGTTAATAGTTTATATAAAATTAGTTAATATAATTTATAATTTGGTTAATGAGTTCTCAAACATGAAAAATAAATAAATAATAAAATAAAATTGGTTAATAAAATATAAAAATTAGTTAGTACATTTATAATTTAGTATCATAATATGATTAATATTATGTATTTTATTAATTAATAAAGTACTGAAAGTAATTAAATGAATTATAAATAAAATAAATGGTTAATAAAATATATTTTTATGATTAATATAATTATAAAATTGATTAATAACATAATTATATATCTGTATTATAAAATAAGTTTAAAAATAATTTTTAAAAATAATATATTTTTAAAATAATATTATTTTAATAAAAATATATTGTTTATTATATAAATACTATTAACAATGTATTGTATCAAGATAACATAATTGAGAAACCAAGTCTCTTTTCTCATTTAGTCAATAGTTGTTTTTTTCTTGTATGTTTAACATTGTTCTCAATTTGTTCGATTCTCTTAAAATAGGAGTGTTTTTCAACTTTAATAAGAAGGCATCAATTTTCTTTTTTTTGCTTATTATGCTTAGTTAACATATGTCTATTTTCCCATTCAAAATGGATCCAAAGTAATTAAAATGTAAGATTTGTGATCTTGTATGTTCTTTAATTATTATATTTATGTTAGAATTAGTTTCTTCTTTCTTTTAATGTTAAAATAGTTTGTCATTTGCTAGACTTATATTTCATATAATGTGTTTTATCTCTATTTGAAGAAAAACTACTACTTGAAAAAAAAATTATGTATTTTCAAAAAGTCGTCTTAATTTTTTTTTCTTCTGTTGATCTCCTCTCTACACTCCAAGTAAGTATTCCTACAAAGTTTGCAATGTATCATTTATCGGATATATTCTACATAACTCCTTTAAATTTCATAATTGAATTTATTCCTTTTCCGAGTTATTATCACTAAAATATTTTTTATTTTAATTAATAAAATATTTATAATTATTAAACGTATTAAATTTATCATGATTAACTACCTATTTATTTTTAAATATTTATCATTATTAATGATCTTATATTAGTAAAATCGAATGATTTAAGATATCTTACGGATCTGCACGGGTCTTATACCAGTCGTAATACATAAAAATCCGATCGTTAATAAAACAGCACCACCACATCTAAACACTGAAACACCACCACTCCGCCGAGTTAACCCGACTAAGTCGAATCTGCAAAACCATGTCGAAGGACGAAGGAACGGTCGTTTCCGATCTGATCAACTTTCTCAACGCATCTCCAACTGCTTTCCACGCCGTCGGTAATAACCAAAACCAACTCCTCTCTTCTCTCTCAATTCGCAACTCATCATTCACTCACCGATTTCCTTTTCAGACGAGGCCAAGAAACAGTTGCAAGCCGTCGGATACGAACAAATCTCGGAGAAGGAAGTTTGGGAACTAAAAGCCGGTCACAAATACTTCTTAACCAGAAACCATTCCACCATCGTCGCTTTCGCCGTTGGCAAAAGGTTCATTTTCTTCTTCTCTGACGATAATCAATAACGCATCGTTTTTCATTTTTCATTTTTCTTTCTCAGATATGTTGCTGGAAATGGATTCCATATAATTGGTGCTCACACCGATAGTCCTTGTTTGAAACTGAAACCGGTGTCAAAGGTTATTAATTAATTTTATGTTAATTTTGATTAGTCAATAGATTTTGGATTAATGAGAGAGGTTTAGGGTTTAGTTTGGGTTTATTTATGCAGGTGGTTAAGGGTGGAATATTGGAGGTTGGTGTTCAAACCTATGGAGGAGGTTTATGGTACACGTGGTTTGATCGGGATTTGACTGTGGCTGGGAGGGTTATCTTAAAAAGAGAAAATGCTGGCTCTGTTTCGTATTCGCATCGCCTTGTTAGAATTGAGGAACCTATAATGCGTGTCCCCACTTTGGCAATTCACTTAGACAGGTTTGTGTTGATGTTGATAATGTGTGCATTGTTTCTTTGTTTTGCTTGGTATATGATTAGTTTATTGTGGTGTTTTTTCCCTTTGGCTGATTCTGTCTAGAGGTGTTAATGATGGATTCAAAGTAAACACGCAGACTCATCTTGTTCCCATTCTTGCAACGTCTCTAAAGGTACTCCTGCATTTCTAGTTGATTCGAGCTTCTTGGCTGTTTATGGAATATTCGTTGGAAATTATCTTTATCCTGACTGTAATGCCTGTGTTTTAATGCTTAGTTTTGTTTTCATTTTTGACTTTAAAGTTAATTTATTGGCAGTGGTGAAACTTTGAAGGTTTTTGTGAGGAGGTCAATTTGCTTAGTGTTTGTATATATACAATTTTTCCGTCAAGTTAGTGATTGATATTGGTGGTTCAGTGTTTAACCATGGTGACCTTTTGCTCCCTGAACATGGTTTGAGTCCTACCTGGGTTCAAACACAGATTATGCTCCTTGATGATAAGTCCACTTTGTCTCTGGACCGCTTCGTAAACTGGTTAAATGTGTGCACAACATAATATAATATAACATGATACTATAATATGTGTATATACCTATTTAGAATGAATTTTTTTGTAGAAGTTGTGGCCTCCCCGATGTCCCTATAAAGATCCACCAGTGATTATAGGAGGTTTCGTTAGTATGATTGTACGGGGATAGACAGCTCGGTTATTGGCTAAACATATGTTTCATTGTATTGCATGAGATTATTTCTACATGATAAACTGTATTTGTACTTCTATTAGCATGCAAAATTGCTAGTTAGTACTTATCTTAATTTTTTGTATTGAATCTTTGATGCAATACTTTTGGGCGTGTGTACTTTGTTTCTCTGTCTACTGAGTTGATTAAAAAATTATTGAAGCTCCTACTGACAGTGCTTACTTGGATTAAAAGTGTTCCTTTTCAATGGTTTGGATTTAGCTTTTATACATTCATTGAAATTTGGTGTGCAGGCAGAGGTTAATAAAGTGTCCTCTGAAAACGGTTCAGTTGAAAGTGGAAAGCAGAATGACGGAAAGAAAGAAAATGATAAAACAGGGTCTAGCAATGCAAAGCACCACCCTATACTTTTACAGGTTAACTGGCTTGAAACTCACAATGCCTTCGTGATGCTTTAACTTTAATTACATTTCTGTTTTTGTTTTTTCTGGGATTGAAGTGTTAATACTTCGGAACGTGGTTTTAATGTGTAAGTTGTAAATCCTTAACATTGGCCTAGGCATGTATACCTAACATTTATCAGTCCTATTATTGTTGATTGTCATTCTTCCTCTTATCTCCAGTTGCTTGCAAGTAAACTTGAGTGTGAACCAGATGACATTTGTGATTTTGAATTGCAAGCTTGTGATACACAACCAAGCATAATTGCTGGAGCCGCCAAGGAGTTCGTATTTTCAGGACGACTTGATAACCTCTGCATGTCATTTTGCTCGTTGAAGGTTTGATTTTTATTGAAATTGTTTCTTCTAGTTAAGATACAAATGTATGTTTGTAGATATATGAACTATAAAATTTAACCTTGACTTTTAAGTGTGCCAATCTAAATGCAATTTGGACTGGTTCATTTATAGTATAAAGGTTAGGGAAATTTAAAAACATCATGATTTATGCTTTAATGTGCTAATAAATATGGGTCAAACTCCATCTTCTTTCTGTCGATGAACTTGGGAAATGGTGGATCATTTAACCAAAGCCAGATGGTTTTGCGTATCTCTTTGTTGCAGTATGTATTGATGTAGTAAGGACGGATGTGAGATAAATAATGTTTTTGGTGATATTAAACTGGATAGATCTCAATTAAATGAGGTTTTTGTTGTGTATAACTTTAGATTAAGATACTAATGTTAGGGTGATACGGATACCAATGCCTGCATGATGATGTATGACAATTTAATGGAGAAATGGGAAATGAACACAAATCTTAAAACATTGTTCACTCTTTCTCACTCGTCTTCTTGCTCCTTTTATTCCTTACAAATTTTAACAGAATTTCCCTCCCTTGTTTTCTTTATGGCCTCACTGGTTTGGAAGTTCGTTACAATTCATGCTCTTCCCTTCTTGCATTTGAGACCTCGATCCCCTGTATCCCTTCCTTGTATACACCTAAATGTAACGTGGCTTCCTAACTATACTTTTCCTTGAAGCTCTTTGACAAGGGGAAACATTTGGAATTGTTCCATTTGAGTCTTCCATGTTCTCTCTCTCTCCTCCTCCCTTCCCAAATAACATTATGCTTATATATGTTTTGCTTGGAGGCCTGATGAATGTTTTCAATGTGAATCCATACTTGGTTGTTAGTATCATTGTATTGCTAGAGTACTACTTATAAAAATAGACTTGGCAGCACACCATATTACTGGAGTCCACATGTAGCACTAAGTATGCCACATGTAGCACTAAGTATGCCAGATATACAGAAAATCTTAAACCCCCTCTCATTCCCAGCCCATATCACCCACTATGTATTGGAGCCTCTCGATCTCTTTTTTTTCCGCAAGTTTTCGCCTCTCTGTGCTAGGGTATGCTCCTCCTTTGGTGAAATTATTAATCGAATATTTAAACGGTTGTGCATTTAAATTAACAATATTTTTATATTTTCTTTAAAAGTAAACTATATTTTCCCAAATGAGAGGGAACTTCAATGACTATTTTGAATTTTAGTTTCTAAAATATTATGCTTTAGAGATTATTTCCTTATATGTCTATGTATAGGTATATTTTGAATTATATGTAGAATTTTATGATCCATGTTGCGATCCAATTGACGATCTTTCACCCCCTTGATTCTTGGTAGAATTTCGGTTTTGACAACCATGTTTGGATTAGAACGTGCTTGTGTATAATGTGTGAAGTTCTCATGTAACTTAATAGTTTTTTATGAAAATGCTAACTAGTTTCTTTACCGCATTGTTTAAGTAACCAAAAGAGGTAAAAAATTATGGGAAAATGAGGTAATTATATAAATTATCATTACATTTACCACCGTTGAAGGTGTATTTTCAAGACAGTTTCCTTTTATTACCTCTTTAGCCAATGCTCTTAGGGCGCTAACATCCTGGTTTCACTTTCAGGCATTAATAGATGCTACATCCTCTGACAGCAATCTTGAGGAAGAGCCTGGCATTAGAATGGTGGCTTTGTTTGACCATGAGGAATGTGGATCTAACTCTGCTCAAGGAGCTGGCTCTCCTGTAGTGCTAGATGTTTTATCGAGGATTACACATTCCTTCAGCCCAAATTCCAAGGTATAGTTTTTTCTTTTTAATCCCCATGTTCTTCCTGTATGACTTAGTGTAGCTGAACAACTATGCTGTTGTCTACTTTCCACTGTGGACTTGCATTACACATGTAGGCAGTAGTACCTTCAACACATCATATTAGGGTATATTAACCTCACATCATTTTTATCCAAATCACTATTCTGAAATCCTAGAATTCACACAAGTTTTCAAAAAACACAGTAAAAGACCTTAAATATCATAAATATTGTATACAATAGTTTCATGGCTAAATTGCAGAAAATCATTAAGATGCAATGATATTTGTATTCTAACACATAGTAAGTGAATAAGTTGTGAGTTCTACTGCATAAACTAGTTTCTGAAACATAAATGGAGGAATGTTTATGTTTTTAATCTTTGGTGTACTAAAATTTGAGGTAAAGTGTAGCTTAGATTTTGTTAACAGTTATGGTTAATTCAGCACTCAATTTAGAGCACAAGAGCACAAGTTAACGTTCCAGATATTAAATGGGGTGGAAAGTGGAATAACTTATAGCCTCAGTATAATAATGTTTTCAGTTATGTGATTAGTTTTCTTCACGGTGTTTTGTTTTAGCTTCTCGAGAAAGCAGTACAGAAAAGCTTCCTTGTATCTGCTGATATGGCACATGCACTACACCCGAATTACATGGTAAGTTTTCTTGCATGTCTTGATTTACTGCTGCCCATAATTCAAACTGTTGCTTATTGAGATCCGGCCCTAATTTCTTGCAGGACAGGCATGAAGAAAACCATCAGCCTAAACTACATGGAGGACTTGTCATTAAGCAAAATGCAAACCAACGCTATGCAACCAATGCTGTCACATCCTTCATTTTTAGGGAGATAGCATCAAAACATAATCTTCCTGTTCAGGTCAGTTTACCAAAACATTTTATGTCTCTTTTCTTCCTCTTTGATTGGAAATATTGTGTCTTCAAAGGAGCAAATTGTTTCCTGTTTACGGAAAAAACGAAGGATTGGAATAATGTGAGTGTAGCATGAGGTAATGAATTATAATGTGTATGTTGATGTAGGACTTTGTGGTGCGCAATGACATGGCCTGCGGTTCAACAATTGGTCCTATTCTCGCAAGTGGCATAGGTATTCGAACTATCGATGTAGGTGCACCGCAGTTGTCAATGCATAGCATCCGAGAAATGTGTGCTGTTGATGATGTGAAATACTCATACGAACATTTCAAGGCCTTTTTCCAGGAATTCTCTCTTCTCGATGCTAATATTGTTGTGGACATATAGACTATATATTCACTGAAGATTCTCTTGCTGAAGGGATCAGGATTTCTAATGATGTTTTTTTAGTTATAACGCAAACGTTAGCATGAAAAAAACTGAACTAATATTTGACTTGAAAACGCAATATTTAGGACTACTTGCTGTATTTTACTTGAATAGTCAAGTCCATAAACATGCTTCCCCTGTAAACCTTTTCAGAAGAGAAATGAATCTTTCCGGGGTTCAAACAAAATATAGATATAACGAGTTTTCAAGCAGCGTCTATTACAGACTTTGTAGCGATAAGGGATAGTATAATCTTAGTTCAGCTTTAAAATTAAAAAAAAAAAAATTTTAGAAAGTTGAATATACAAGTTTTAAAATGAATATTTCTACATTAAGATGTTTTTTATAATCAAGGAATATATTAGATTAGAGTTCAAGGGTATTCTTGTCCAATACAACGAATACCCAATTACAAAAGAGAATAAATTTCCCCCTTACATCAACTATGAAAATAATTTAAGGGAACTACACAAAAGTCATAAAAGATAATGTTGGAATTTGAAATTATCAAAACAGTTTAGAGCATAAAAGTTAGTAATAAGTTAATGTTGGAATTTGAAATTATCAAAACAACTTAAGAGCATGATTATCGGGTTGTTTGGGGTTTTACACATTTTACAAAGACGTAAGAAATTGATGGATAATTTCATCTGTTTTTCCATTCCTCAACTAAATATCGTGTTCAAACTAAAGTACATTCCTACACTTTTGGTCTCTTTCATTATTATTATTTTTTAAATCTGTCAGTAATAGATGTGTTCTGAGGTATATTATGGGGTTTAGTGGAATTTATTTTAAATACAAAAGTTATGTCAATCCATTTCTCCACTTCAAGTTACACTTTCTGCACAGTAGGACAAAACAAGAACAAATGGTCTAAATTTCTCTCTTATTGAAACAAAAACCACAAGGGAGCTCATAATTAGCATGAATAGTTCCATGATATTTGCTAGGAAGACAGTTTATAAACACTCTCCAGCCAAAAGTTTTTATTTTTGTAGGAACTTGAGCTCTCCAAAAACCCTTGTCAAACCTTCATCAATGTCTTCCAACTTCACGTCCAATTCGTAGTAGGAATTTATGGTAAATTCTTTGTTGATGTCAGCCTATCAATCGAATTTATCCTCCTCTTCAGCTTTTGGAACATGCTCTGCCAGACATTCAAATAACTCGAGTCTGCTGGATGGGTAATTTGCAGACCATTCCATATCCAATCATCATTGGACCAGATGCCCATTTGATCAATTGTGTCATCTTGATTATTGCCGATGAAGAATAACTCAGAGTATTTATTCTTCAAAGATTGGTCTTCACACCAAGTTGTTGTCCAAAAAGGAAAACAATTTCCTTTTCCCAACCTATAATGGATATTACCTAGAAAAGCCACAATTTCATTGTTAGCATTGCTATCTATTCTGACCAAATTTTGCCATCTAGTTGACTTGGACCTTCTGCCTTTTTTCATGACCACAATCAACATTTGCTGCTTTATGTTACCATACCTAGTCCTCAATAATTTTGTCCATATTGCATCTTTTTCCACCAACACCCTCCACTTCCATTTACATGAGAGCATTGTTGAAATCTTCTATGTTCTTCACTCCTAACCCCCCTTGATTTGTGGTCCTATAAATTTGCTTCAAGCTAACCTAATGGACCTTTTTTTTTTTAATGTTAGAGCTTTCCCACAAAAAGTTTTGTTGGATTTTGGTTATTTCTTTCCAAATCTTCACAGCAAGAAAATTTGAATGCTATTTAAAGTAGAATTAATTAATGTAACTCTTCCTCTTAAACTCAAAAATCTACCCTTTCAAATGGCCAACTTTGCTCTAAGTTTGTCCAAAACAGGATTCCACATCTGAATTCTTCTAGGATTTGATCCTATTAGAATTCATCCAAAACTGAAAGGCATATCTTCCCCATTGCAAGAAAGAAAAGTAGAAGCTGGTAGAGTAAAATGCTTGCTAAGATTAATTCCATAAATTTTCTTTTGCAAAAGTTCACATCTAAACTAGACATTAGTTCAAAGCCCCTAAAAATTTCCTTAATGGTCCAAACATTCTTTCAACTTCCTTCTCCTATCAACAGTGTGTCTTCTGAAAAATTGTTATACCTCAAAAGAGACCATATCCTTGATTCTGAAATAATAAAACTCTCCATCTTTTGTAGTTTTTTTACCAAACTTGATAAATTTTCCACTATCAAAACAAAAAGGAATGGTGATAGTGAATCATCCTGTCTTAACCCTCTTCCTACTTCAAAGTCCAAAATAGAGCTCCCATTAACTACAACTGGCATATGACATGTAAAGACACAAGCTTTCATCCACCTCATCTAAAAAGTCCCAAACCATGTCCTTTCCTACATGAATCTACGATAACTCCAACTAACTCTATCATATACTATTTTAAAATCCACTTTAAAAAGCATACAAATCTTCTTACTTCTAAAGGCTAGATCTACAATCTCATTAGCCACTAACACTCCATCTAACTATCTTCATAGAACAAAAGTTGATTGACTTCGAGTTATTAACTTTCCTAGAACTCTCTTAAGCCTTGAGTCTAATATAATTAGGCTATAACTTTATAAAGACATCACACCAAATAAATAGGTCTAAACTCATCTAATCCTTCGTGGTTCTTCCATTAGGAATAAGGATTAGAAAAGATGAAGTTATAGTCTTTAACACCCCAATTTTAGTAATTTATTTTATTAATTTATTTTAATTTAATTATAATTATGTATTTATTTAATTATTATAGGTGAATGATTAAATAAATGTGGGTAGAGAAAGAACGTGTGACCTTATAGTAGGGTGTAGAGAATAATTAGAGAAAAAGAATTATAAAATTATTTTATTAATAAAAATAATGATTTAATTTTTTTATTATTTAAATAAAATAAATAAATAAAGAGAAAATATATGTTGTGTAGATATTGAGAGTAAAGTGGAGATTATAGAGAAGAGTGAGGGTATACTAGAAATAGTCATATAGGGTACTAGATTTTTAGAGTAAAAAGAGAATTCAAAGGGGAGTCTGACAACACGTAGAAAAAAAGATGAAAAAAAGGCAAGAGGAGAGAGACGGCTAGGGCATAGAAGAGCACCCGTTGGAGAAGTTTAGAAGAAATTTCAAGAGAAATTTAAGATAAGGGGGGAAAATAACTTTTAATAAAAAAGGTTTATGCATGAAGAGTAGGGTAGAAGAGTTCTTAACCTCTAATAGAGTTTGTTTATCCATTGATTTTGATGGATGTTGATGAATATATATTATGATGAATTTGTTGTTATATGTGTTAATCTAAATAGCAATAGTGTGTTGTTATGTGGTTGTGTTCTTGAGTCATGATGTGAAATTGAGTGTGTCAGTGTATGGATTTAAGTGTTTAATTCATGAGAAATTGATATGTTTATCTCCATTAGAATAAGATGATTGTATTTGTGTTGTTAAGATGTAAATAGGTGTAATTGAGAATGTTATAATTGAATTAGATGGGATATGAAGTTAGATTTTCAAAATAAGCTATTTGGACATGTTAGAGGATGTTTTGAATAGGTCTAAGTTGAAGAAAAAAAAGAGATGTTTTGGATAGGTCTAAGTTGAAGAAAAAAAGAGTTTAGAAGTGAAATTTTCGTAAGAAAATCATAAGAGAGTATTGGTTGACTTGTTTCGTGCATGTCTTGAGCTCCATAAGTCCGTTTGAGACCCTATCAGTTGAGTTAGAAAGCTAACGCGATAATATTTAAGTCTAGGTGGAGATATTGGATCTAGGAGTGCTACAACAGTAGCAGTTCCCTAGTTTTTATACCAGAAACATTAGTAATTTCGGTCATACGTTGGTCAGCTTGTTTCAAGTGTAAATGCAGTCTCGTGAGTCTGTTTGAGATGCGGTCAATTGCATTAGAAAAATGCTTTAATGATCGTTTCAATTGAATTTTTTTTTAATTTTCTCATAAGTATATAATGTTTGACACCATTTTAAAGTCAGACGAAATATTCTATCCGATGCGAGTGCGCGTTCTTGTTGTTTGGTTAAACTAAACTGATTAGTATATTAAGTCCTGAAATAAAAAACATATTCTTAAAATAGACTTTCTAAGATTTCCGGAACATATTCATTTGCTTGATTTTGACTTTGTTTGATATTTTAAATAATTATTTGAATGTGATGTGTTATCATGTTATTATATAAGTGAAATAATCATGAATCAATTGTGTTGTTCTATAATGTTGAGTATTAATCCTACTGATTATGCTAATGTGTAATTGTGAACAGTTAATGATAATGTTATATTGAATTGTGTAAATTGTGATATTGATGTGATGTTGTATTATCACGAGATATATTGATGAATTAAATGGTGTTAAATATAATTATGTGTTAAATTGATATTATGTTTGTGATGTGCATGTATGTTATTGTTGTGTGGTAATCAAGAAGTGACGATTATGTGATTTTGTCAATGCATGTATGTTAGAATCAGAAGAGAGGTCTTAACACATTGAATTTGTTAATATGTTCATGCATTCGTGTTGAGTTATGTCAAGAGACATGTTTGCTAGTTTAGAAGAGGGAACTAGTGGCTTGCTCAGAGAGGGGGCTCATGGGTTCAAAAGAGGGGACTCGGTTCCAAAGAGAAACAAATGTTGAGTTGGTACCACATATATATGCATAGAGCTGCATAGTTGAGTTGTATTATATAACGAGTTATATGTATATTTGTTGAGTTGTGATTGATTGGTGGATTGGGTGTGAGAATGTAATTGATATATTATAATTGAGATCATGTAGAATATGCTATGTGTTGATATCTTACCTTGCAATATATGCCTTTGATTATTAGTTGTGATTTCTCACCCTTTTTGTTTGAATGTTGCTTTTACATGGACATCATGCAGATACTCAAGAGTAGAGACGCTGCTGTGAGTGAAAGCTAGTTCCTGAAGCTATTT